AGTGCACTCGCTTCCTAGAGCGCAATCAAACCAACATTGTAGAAGCAAATTTGAAGAACAGACCTCCACTACAAACTAAAGCAAACTAATTTAACCTATTAAAGAAAGTTTACTGTTCAATAACTAAGAATCTTAAACATGATTTTATACAAGCTAGTTCTGAGTCCTCCTAACATGCCCAGACTGCTAATGTCGTAATACTGTGTCTGAAACTGGCCTTTAGTAATTCATTCCACTTAAGTGTGCGAATGAAACCCTGTTATGCAACTGCAGTGCTCCATCAAGTCCCACGCCAACATTAAAGACTGCTAGAAGAATAGCCTCTAGCTCCCTTATAAGACACTGGTTCAACACTCACAGAATAATTTCTCTTGCAATCCGTAGCACCTGCTTTATCTTTCAATATGAGTCACTCTGTTATAGACTTTATCTGATTGAGAGATCTGAAGCAATTAGAGCCCAGGGTAGAAGACATGTGTCTCCCAAATAATGTGGTATACCATTGTCACGAGAAAGACGACCTAAATGATGGAGCTCAAATCATCCCACTGGGATCCTTGCTAGCTGAGAGTTTAAAAAAAAAAAAAAAGAAAACGAAAAAGTTGAGCTGAACTACCAGGCAGGAATTCTTAATTTCTTCTTTTTCACATTCTCTTTTTCCATCTAGTCCTAGCTTTAAAGCTGCAGAGTTAATTTAAAAATTACATCTCCCCTGCCTCTTCACAAGCAAAGCTAACACCTCCACTGTAATTATGGCACTTAGAATAAGAGAAGTGACCTTTAACAGACACTGATTTCCTAAGACAAAAAAAAACTTCTACCATTTTCTGAAACTTTCTATGCTTGTCTGGTCACATATAACAGACTATCACAAAATAACTAGCTTAAGTTAGAAGCAGAAGAACAACCTTCTCCTGTCTCCTTAGTAATGCCAGAGCCAGTCAGCACTTGTCATGCAGTGTTGTAAGTGCTGAAGTAAAGCAAATAGCATCCTCCCCTTAATCTTATGCTGGTTCTCAGAGAGAGCCAGAAGAAACTGGTACCGCTGGCTCTGTCAAATGTTTAAGCCTTAGCATGAAGCAATACACTCCAGAGAGGAGCAGCACGCATACTCACGTGGCGAGAACTTCAGCTGGAAGGTCGGTGATGTAGGAAGGGATTTTTCTTCCTGTCAGGAACTGTGCCACTTCATTACTGAAGGTGTTGCAGTTATGTTCAAAGAGGTTATAAGACTCTCCTCTGTGTCACAGGAAAGGGATTGAAACATAAAAAGACAGACTCAGCAATACATCTAACAAGCAGAAAAACTTAGACCCCTAATGAGGAACAGCTCCTTCCATTAGCACCTTTTTCTCCCCCCACAAAGAATTCTAAACCAAATAAGTAAAATACAGACATCAATTCACCTTCACATTCAATTGAATCAGGGTGGAAAATGACATCTCTCTGCATCACTGACTTTATACAATGTTTTTTGAGAGGATAAGTGAGGTCAGGTTTCTTCAATTAAAGCCACAGAAGGACTAACAAGAAGTCACAGGAACTACTGGCACTGAAATATAGCCAGAACACTAAATGCTACTGTTTCCTATTCTTGTGAGAAGTAGACTAGACTCTTAAACAGTCAAGACCTTGCTTTTACTCATCTGAAAGTTGGCAGCTTTACTACAACACTTCACCTATGACTCACGGAGCAAAGCACTATTTACTGAAATATTTCATATAGTGCCTTCATTTTCCCTGGTGATTCTCTTGAAGGCATTTCAGGCATTATTCCATTTTACATAAAATAGTGTGAAACATTTCCCGGCAGAATGCCTTCCCAGCCTAGCTCAAGGCTGGCGCACCAGAGGGTTGCCTAGCTGGTAGCTCCCTGTGTATCGGTGCATCAGTTCCAGTCTCGTAGTTAGAAAGTACCAAATAATACACTAAGCAGACAAAGCTTGGTGAGCAGGATTTAGGTTTCGTAACACCTTCCTCCATTCTGCACCCCTTCCTCTGAAGGCTTTTTTTGTTATACGGATTTTATAGTCCCAGCTGCTACTTACCGGAACATAGATTCCCCCAAAGATGAAAGATATTCCAGAAAAATTTCTTCTGTGACTTCAGTGTTCCCCAGGTCAACAACTGAGTCCGGGGGGCCAAGAAGCGTCCCTCCCTGTAAAAATTAACAGCCAGAAGACAATGTTAAATGGACAGACTGAATTCTTTTGGAGGACTCTACTGAATAGAACTATTGTGGCTTGTTCAGGCACAAAAGGAGGAACTTCTGGTACATTTGACAAGCAAAAAGCCCTACTGGTCTCCCCTGTTCTGCACTCAGAGAATGAAAAGTAACATGCAGCTTACATTTCAGCTTGTCTACTTGGCTCTTCGTGCTGAAAGCTCTAAGCTATAGCAAAATTCTGCTTTAGAAGAAGAACAGCCCATCAGTTTTGCCTCTCCAAGAACAGAAAGGTCTGACAAAGCAGCGTGAATTTTTTTTTAATCTTAAAAAGGATGCCTTGAGTTGCCAAGTCTGTGTGTAAAACCTATCGCTACAGAATTGGACAAGGTGTCACTCTGGTAATGCAGCTGCAGAAGGTATCCTGGATAGATAAGACTCTATCAGCAGAAGCAAGCCCCAACGTGTATTTAGTTAGGCTTAAACCCACTCTCCATGCTCCCTTTTCCTCAGATGCCCTGGGCAACCACGGCAAGCAGCCACATCTGGCTGAATTCAGAAGCCTTTTGCTTTTCTAAAAGACAGTGACACAAGCAATTTCCATCAGGTAATCCTCTCACAAAATTATCTTATCAGAAAAATAAATATAACTTACAGGTGCACAGCTGGAGATTCCTCCACTGCCATAGAAGAACTCATCCTTATGGACTATTATGGAGGTGTGCCTGCCAGAGAGAACAAAAAAGCAGGTGAAACAAAGGAAGTATTTAACCTAGCAAATAAATCACTGGTAAATTTAGGTGCTCAAGGACATCATGAAGTGAATAACTGAAAGAAAAGGTCAATGTGTTTCTGTGGGTAGGAGCAGGATCTGCTGGGATATGAATGGATATGGAAGCAGTGATCATCAAGCCTACTGTAACTCTGTAAGCAGTTGGGAAAGAACAGGCTTAGGTAGGTGCCCAAGCATGAAGCAACATAGAAAGAGAGGGACTTCTACACCAGCATGAGATCTCCAGCAGCCTCTTTCAGCTAAAGGGTGGACGGTGAAGTCACAGAGATGGAGACAGAGCTAGCCCTGCTACTACCTTGACAGAAGTGCATGTCCGATAGACACTGACTGTCAAACAACGACTGGAGATGGATCAATAGAGAGGAAAATGGATGGTCAAGGGTTTGTGTGGGTTTTTTTTGTTTGTTTTTTTTTTTGTTGGTTTTTTTTTTTTGTGTGTGTGTGTGTTTTTTTGTTTTGTTTTTGTTTTTTTTTTTTTAAAAAAAGGCTCTTGATATGAATTATGGCAAACTGGGGGTGTGTTTTGTAACTGAATGTAGTCACTGCTTTTACATGCCAGAAGGCCTGATTCTGTAATACCTCTTCTCACCTACTCTTTTACTCTCACATTTAGTCATGCCGGCAATTAGAAGACAAAGTGCTTGGGACAAGGACAATATCCTACCCTTGAAAAAGTGTAGAAAGGCACTAAAATGCAACAACTACTACCAACACTTTTTTTCATGGGGTCCACTGAGCTTTAAATGGAGAAGTGTAACCAGCACCTGACTGCGCATTATCTGTCAGTAATTGTCAATCTGTATTCAGGAACAAAAAGTGCCTTGGTCTCTCTTCAGCACCAAAATGTTCTTAAGATCTGAAGCACATATAATCTCATATTGAAAATACTTCCTATAGCACATGGCGTTTAAACACACATTATGCAACTTAAATCTAGTCACTTACCAGATGCCATCCAGCTGTTTCCCTGTATACAGAGAAAAGAAGAGTCATTAGCAACGTATTTTCCAGATTTCAGCCCACCTTCTGTCAATCACTTAGGAACCATGCTTATTATTTCACCATGACAGTAATACCAAAGATTTCATCCCAGAGTTGCTTCTAAAGAAACAGAATGTCTTATCTTTCAAATGAACTACTCCATCCACACTACTGCTGTACTTTTTTCCCTCCTGCATGCAGAGGAGGCAACGCCATTCTATCCTGCCAGTGCTTACCTTCCTTGGGCTTTTTGCTTCAGACCAAGAAAAGAAACCTTTTCCTAAAATTAGTCTCTTCAGTCAGGACCAGAAGAGTTGCATTTTACACTGCTTTCATAACTGCAGGCAGTTAGCCAGCACAGAGTATTCAGTTTTCTTTTTCAGTAACTGATGAGAGATCTCACTTGAACACAGGATCTGCAGTGATAGTCTCTATAATCTATTCCATGATTGCCTCCTTTCCCTCTGTCCCCCTGCCCTTAAAAATTAGCAGCTTAAGTGGGAGTTGGGGGGGGGGGGGGGAGTGCAGGGTTGAAATTTATACAGTTTATACAATTGTGTGTTTTGTAGAACACAGCAGCAAAGACTTGCTTCAGGCACCATTAAACTGATAATATCATTGTGTCTTAGAGAAAAAGTCCCTTCTGAAATGCTTCTCCAGTTCCCTAGAAGTGGGAAACCTAAACCTCTCTGTACTCATGGTAGGACCTCAAGATCTCTCTTCGAAGGATCATCAGCCGTTACCACTCTAGGCTCCATTATTTTATCTATCCTAACCTAAAGGCTTGGTCCCTGGTATCCTACCCCTTTGCAAACTTGTAGGCAGCAACAGCGTGCTATGACAGACGTGCTTTATTTCGCCAAACAAGGTGCACAACTCCCAGAAAAGTGGATTCAGAACAGAAAACCTGTGTGCGTACCAATATTTGGTATCATCCTGAACCCAAGCAGTAGACAGAGTGCTCCTCTGCTGTAGCCTCTGCTTGCTTGCAGCAGGCTGCCGATCCTTTCAGCCACCCTCCATGTGCCAGTGCTCTCCCCCAGCAGACCACTTCCCACACCACTATCCTTTACATCCAAGCAGCACCTCTTCCAAGATGTTTTGTTGTTACCGTTCAACTTTTAGACACCAGAATGTGATGTGATGATCTGCTAAAGTCATCTGCAGGTTTCCCAGAGCTAGATAAAAACCACTGTAGACACGACAAAAAAAGCCACCTGAACATGAGAGGTACTGATCTAGTAAAAATTTGTTCAGAAAGCACTGATGGGTTAACTTCTGGCCAAGAGGCTTTGCTCTGGTTTGGACACCATCTGTTTGCATCACACCAGGCCTCCCAAAGGTAGCCACAGACCTTCTTGCTCCCTGAATTCTGGGCCATTATGTCTAGATATTACCCTCCTCCTTTAAACACAGCCTCAGAGTTGTGTGGGGTTTTTTTGTTTGTTTGTTTTTTTAATGTTTTATTCAAATGTTTGTGACATTCAGGCTTTTCTTAGCTATCTTGAGGTGCCTTAACTGACCTTAACTCAGGATTTGGCTGCATCCCCCATCACACTGTCAGCCTTGCCTCTCCCTAGCAACTATTTCACCAGCCACTCTGCTTGTATTCCTTACGATGCTGAAAGTGCAACTGTGACTGCTCTTCAAAGGTTAGAATCAGACGCTCAGAAAAACAATAAATTATTCCACTCAGAAAAAAAAGTTTGGTAAAAAAAAAAAAAAAAAAAGAAGTTTGGTTCAGTTGCATTCCCCTGCTTTTCCCCCACAATTCCCAAAGAGGCAGAACGTTACACGCTGGGCCCTTGTTAGTGTATCAGGGGTCTAAAGCTAAACGGGAGTTTGACAGAGCAATATTTCATCCCTCAGCCTCCACAATGCCGGCTTTTTTTGCTGAAACTTTAAGGGTCACTCTTCTTCTGTTTGTGTCCAGTTTCTTCTACGATACTTGGTGCGATAGCAGCGATGGTGTACATTGTCCCAGCTCCACTTGTCCTGTGGAAAGACATTTTCCAATTGCCCTCACTCAGATCACCCATAGCATACAAGGAGGCAGAGGCATTGCCTTTCCCGTTCCACAGGCAGAGGGTCTCGGGGTATTTATTCCCCCCTATCCCTCTGTCAGGGCTGCTTTGCTCTGTGAGTGCCAGGAGTGAATATGCTACTTCAAAGCAGCAGGAGTTCTTCACGAGTTCTTTTTCTTGGGTCAAACCAACTTTATTCCCCCCTATCCCTCTGTCAGGGCTGCTTTGCTCTGTGAGTGCCAGGAGTGAATATGCTACTTCAAAGCAGCAGGAGTTCTTTCTCTTGGGCCAAACCAACTTTCTGTCACCATCAGGACTGGGTAAAACACAGGAACAAAACTGGTGAGGATAATCCTTCAAGAGTTCTGAGAAAATGATGTTTATGTGTCCAAGCAAGGAATAAACAATCACTACCATATTTTTTTCTGCTCAAGTCTGAAGAAAAATAGGCATAGAGATAGATACCTGCTTCAGATGAGGGTCCTGTAAGAGTGGAAGCAGGGAAAAGGCTGTTGTGACAATAGAGACATCAGTCGAAGCGAGCACACACAGTTTTGAAGTAGGTGGACTGATCTGTCACTACCATGGATCACAGCCAGGCAGCAAGCATATTCGCTGTCAACCCGTCGCACAAAAACCTAGCCATGGAGTAGGATGAAGGCCAAAAAGAGAGTAGCAACGATGAGAGATGCAGAGCGCTGTGCTGCAACATTTCAGGGGCATTTGCTGCCCCTTTAGCGTGTCCCACGCCACTGTGCTCCTCGATCCTCTGGCCCTTGTTCTACACCTTCCCCAGCAGAGCTTTCGCCTTCCGCTCTGGAGCTGCCAAAACCCAGCGATGCGGCAGGCTCACCAGCCCGTGCGAGGCAGGGTACGGTGCTCTGCCCTCACTGCAGCAGCTGGCCTGCCATAGGCTCTACTGCTTTGCATAGTTAACGTTCTGCATATCTGTTAATAAATTATTACACATTCGTTCACAATAAATCACTGGTTTTCACTAGAAACTTGAACTTTATCCTTCAGGGCAGAGAATAAATCCTTTCAAAGGCAGCACATACTAGAATTGTATCCGCCCTTTCGCAGGCTAAATGGAAAAAGAACACCTTTTGGATCCACCCAGTACAAAAGACGCCAACATACTGGGCTGGAGCACTTGCTGTATTGGAGAGCGGCTGAGAGAACTCATCTGTTCAGCCTCACGAAGAGAAGGCCAAGAGTCCTTATTGCTGTCTACAACTACCTAAAGGGGTATGGAGGAAAAGGAGCCTTGTTCTACTCCGAGGTGCACAGTGAAAGGCAACAGATGCTAGTCAGAAAAAGGGAAATTCCCAACTCAGTAAGAGGAGGAAAAAAAAATTACCATGAAGGTGATCAAACACTGGGGCGGGGGTCCAGAAAGCATGTGGGATTTCCATCCTTGGAGATACTCAGCTGCCCAGGGCCCTGAAGGATCTGCTCTCACCAGATCTACCTTGGTCAGGACTTCCAGAGGTCCCTTTCCACCAACACAACTCTCTGATTATATGAACAAAACCCAAACAGAATTCAGGAAAGGGACTTTGCATTAGCCTGCAGGCCAGTCCTGCGAGGCTCCTCTCTGGCTGCTACACACGAAATCTGTAGCCAACAACAGGCAGCAACTGCCAGGGCAGTAACAGAAGAGCTCTTGGCAAATGAAGCTGCCTGTCTTCACAAGGCAGGCCTGTCCGAGGCTGCCCAGCTAGGTCGGTTTGTGCCAAGCACTGGTTTGATCATCATAATGGAGCTGCTGACCTGCTATTTTTGTTTGGCTCCTGTAAGACATTAACCAGGCTGGTACTGTGGAAAACACACGGCGGATCTGCAGCACTGATGACAATAAGGCATCCGTGGTAGCTCTCCACCCTGCTGCAGACCAAATAAAATCCACTGGCGGACCATGCTTGGCCAGAGGCAGTGCAAGCCTCTCCAGTGACAATGCTGTTGGGGAATCCCATGCCTAAGAAACCTGTCATTTTGGCCACATACACATCGCCTAGAGACATCCAAGATCAAGAACTTCTGGTACGATGCTGTGCAGCTGGCTGTCGACACCTCAACTCCAAACTGACTGACAGAGGAATAAGTCAAGGGCCACCAGCTTCTGAGGATCTTGGGCAGCTCCCTTTCCTCCTGCTCAGCAAGAAGCTCAATGTTGTTTGCCTGTTGCATCATGTAAGAGGTTCTGCACAGACCTACACGGACACCATCATCTTCCTCCTGAAGTTTTGTCTCTGCTGGTGATCCTCCTATACGACTCTTCACGTCCTTCTGTTTCCACAGCCAGCTGCCCAAGTGAGAGCATGAGGACGGTATTGCTGTGGCAGTGCTAAGGCACAAATTGTATCCAGGCCTTGCAGTGACACTTTCCAATAAAGCTGCTTCTGGCAACACTGTCCAGCTTAAAAAATAGGTCAAGCTTGCCAGGGAGCGTCCCCAAGTAATCCTACAGTGCAACAGAGCTTACAGCCTGTAGTCAACTGAGTAGTCTAGAAGAAGGGATTGCAAATACCATCTGGGATACTGGCAGACATCATCCCGTTTCATGCTCTTCCAGTCCTTGCTACAACACTCCAAACTCCCGCGGCACGCTGCAATGTGGGCAGAACTATACGCTGGTACTGCCACCAAAACCAACACGTTTACTCATAACCTGAGGCTGTCTATAACTATATAGAAAAGTCTGATTCCCCAGTAATTCCCATTTGAGCTGCAAAAGCCTTTAAATTGCAGGCATTACCCTTCACTCAATACCTACAGCAAAGCTAATCCAAATAATGCACACGCATATAATGCGGAACAGGGATGTCCTGACGGGATGATATTCTTTTGGACATCTACTGTTCATCGAGGTAAAACAGAGAAACAGCAAGATGCCTAAAGAGTTTAAATAGTTCAAGGGACAGACGGCTGTTGAGCAGGAAAGGGTGTTGCAAATTTAGGTGTACACACTTAATCATACAACA